AGACACCGTTGCAGCAGACACACATTTTCCCGTAAAGTCCCCCATCGGCATTACCGCCAACCTTTACCACCAGCGCGGTCGGTGCACTGTCGCGCGAGTTTGTAGCCAGCCATGTCAGAGATGTGAACAATCCAGCACACGGGGGAAGAAGAAAGGGATGATAGCCACCCTTTCTCGCTGGATCCCGCGGTGAAAATGGACTAACGCCATTTTCAAGCCCATTGGTGCAATGTGAGATGAACTTGACATGAGGACATCAATGGGTGTCGATGAACGAGAAATGATGTTCCAATACAGATTCATATCGACCAGAAGCCTTTCTTATTCTGAGCTACGAGCAATAGATAGTACAAAAACAAAATATATTACATAAAATTCAGCCTGTCGACAGGAAACAATAAAAGGGTATCGTGTTACAACATATGGGTTCATATTACGGCTTCAGATATTTGGGCCTCCAATGCTGATTTCCCAAATCAGCGCACAGTCCATATATATGTAGAGAAGTCTGTGGTTGAGAGCTCACTAGCAACGTGCTCCTAGGATAAGGCGAAAAATAACATGACAACGGAACGCCTGCTCACTCGTTTAATCAAGCACCAATTCGATGTTGCGACATGTTTTTATAATCTGTATTTAATGAGGAATACGAGCATATGCATACAAAGTTCGAAAAATAATCCAAAAGTATGATTTTTGAATGAAATACAAAAAATGTTAGTATGCCACTCGTCTCGGAGATTTGACTCGGCAAATCATAGCCTTACAAAGTGAGTTACGCGGTGTTACGTGTGGAAACACGCATCAAAAATATTCTCCCATAAATTCTGCATTGGAATCAACTCTTATCTTTTGCCCAATTTTGCCCAAACAGCTACTACGAGACATCAAAGCAGAAGATGTCGCGTGGCTTCCAGCGCTCCGCTGCGCTGCCCGGCGCCGCGGCGGTCAGCTGACTGCGGTGTACCGCCGCAGGGGTTACGTGTGGAAACACATATCAAAATATTCTCCCATAAATTCTGCATTGGAATCAACTCTTATCTTTTGCCCAATTTTGCCCAAACAGCTACTACGAGACATCAAAGCAGAAGATGTCGCGTGGCTTCCAGCGCTCCGCCGCGCTGCCCGGCGCCGCGGCGGTCAGCTGACTGTGGCGTACCGCCGCAGGAGTAAAGTCGTGCTAGGAGGGGCAAAGTCCCCACAGTGCGGCGTTCCGGAACGGAGGAACGGAGGAACGGATCGTGCCCACCTATGATTCTCTTACCGTTTTTTCACTAGGATTAGGTAGTGCTGATAGAACATGCGATATATGTGGTAGTATCACTAGTATCAAACTTTTGGCAACGATTATTTTCCCAGTTAGAGTGATATGTCTATTTTGCCACATTCTTATCACTCGTAATATTGCCTCCTTTTTCATCAGCAAGTTTTTCTCTACTATGTTGAAACATTTCGGTTCAAATATAATTCCCAGAAGCTTTATTTCATGCACCCAATTTATCTCAATGTCTGGACATATAACATCTACTCGTGAAGTTTCACTTCCAATCCACATCGCATTGGATTTTGAAACATTTGGTTTTAGTCCTGAGAATTTCGCAAACCAGCCTAGTACCGTCAAAGACTGCCCTCCAGCTCAGCTCAGTACCGTCAAAGACTGCCCTCCAGCTCAGCTCAGTACCGTCCAGAAAAAATGTAGTGTCGTCGGCATATTGTAATATCTTGACACTTGCTTCGCCTAGTTTCATACCTGTTATGTCCTTATTTTGTCTAATAGGTACTGTTTGCTAGAATTTCGGCGCCAATTATGAAAAAATAACATGATACAGGATCTCCTTGTCTGCACCCTCTTTCTAAATGTATCACCTCTTTTGATGTATGGCCATTGTACACAATTCGAGAAAATACATTTTTGTTTATACACTGAAATGTTTTGATGAACTTTTCTCCAAAGTTAAAGCTACGTAGGCAGTATTCTATGAAGTTCCAACTCATGACATCAAATGCAGACATAAAGTCAACCGAGAGTAAAAGTCCTTTTCTCTCATTTTTATATGCTTCCCACAAAACGTCATAGACAACCCGAGTATTTTCACCAATGAATCTTTTCTTTAAAAATGCCGTTTGATCAGGGTTGATAATGGAGTCCAATACTCTTTTTAATCGATTTGCCACCGTGGCGGACAAGATTTTCTAGGTTGAATTTAAAGAGTGATTGGTCTCCAGCCAGATATTACGTTTCTAGGTTTACACGGCTTAGGCACTAGTATAATCAGCCCTTCTCGTTGTGTGACTGAAAGTTCTCCATTTTCTAATCCATACATAAGTGATCTGTGTACAAAATGTTTTATGTCGCCCCAAAAGACTTTAAAGAACTCGTAAGGGAAGCCATCTGAACCAGGGCTCCTATTATTACTTAACCTTTTTAACGTTTCTCCTAGTTCTAGAACAGTTACTTTTCTGTCCATTGACTCCGATTCGAAACTCGTGAGCTTAGGACCCATGGAGTTACTCAAATAGTTGGAGACTTCGGAATGTAGGTAATCATCATGCTTTTTAAATAAGTTTGTGAAATGCTGCGTTATTTTTGATATAATGTCTTCGTTACTAGTAAACTCATGTCCCTCTACTTTAAGGCTTGGCATTAATTTGCTGTTGAAATTTCGTTTTTCTAGATTCAAGAAGTAGCTAGAGCTCTTTTCCCCTTCTTCAAACCATTGTGTTCGGGATCGAATAATGCGGCCTTCATTTGCTGTGGCTCTCGCTTTTTGAATCTCCGTCTGTTTGGCGACAATGGCTTTGATGTCTTGTTCAGACGGGTTTGATAGGGATTCTAAAAATTGAAGTTCACTCATTATTCGCTTTTCTTTTTCAGTCTGCTCTTTTTTCTTTTTTATGGAATATGAATTTGTTTCACCGCGTATCTTCATCAGCAATGTTTCCAAAAAAAGGGCATCATTTATCGTTAACTGGATTTTCTCCCTACATTCTTGACTGGAAAGGTATGATTCACAGTAAACTGGACATGCATAACTATTGAGTACCTCTTGAATGACTCTTTTAACCATTTCTAGATATCTTTTTTCTTTAAGTAGGGAGCAGTTAAGTTTCCAGAATCCTCTTCCTCTTGGTTGTCCATTGATATTTAGTTTTAATATGACTCTGGAGTGATCCGATCTGTATGCAGGAACTATATCACATGATATAGTTTTGTTAAGCAGGGGTTCAGATATTAGAAAGAAGTCCAGTCTTGCGCACTTCACAGGATTAAGATTGGAATTTAACAATGAATCCTGAAAAGGATACGCATAATTATGCGTCCAGAGACAGAAGAGCTCGATCCCGAAATATAGTGAAGCAAAAGTGTGCTGCATTCAATCTTTATGCTATTTGGAGGATTATGAATGAAAACAAAAAACAATACAGTTGGAGGCGTTAGCCGAGTTAAGGGCCCACGGCAATTTTCGTCCCGACGGTTGCACCAATACAGGACATTGGTGTAGTCCGGGCAAGACTGGTCGCCGTAATTCGGCCTGAGGCACCTGCCCCTATGACAGTTTTGTCAGGCTAAACGGGCCTTCGTGTCTCCTCAAATGGCGTTGGCCGAGTTAAAAGTCAACGGCTTTTCGTCCTGGCGGCAGTTCGCCAAAGCATGAATTTGGTGTTTGCCTGGGCAAGGCCAGTCGCCGTGTTCTGGTCTGCGGCACTTGCCTATCTGGCCTGGTGTGTCAGATTTCTGACTAGAAGTGGCAAAATGTGGACCCGAGGACCCGGTCCAAAGAACCAGTCTGGACCCATATGGGTCTAGACCGGTTCCTGGAAATTTTATGACGGGTCCAACCGGGTCCTACCATAAACTATACATCATGCACGCTACACATTATTGCAAAATATGAAGTGCATGAAGTGAATGTTTCTTTGCACACAGTAGCTCATGGGTATTCCCAGTGGGAAATAGGCTGTTTTACAAGATGCAACTTATGACACCTACAAGTAGTTTGTATTAATTGACTTTTGGGGAACGGGTCCAAATGGTTCCGATTCCAACTAAGACCGGGTCCGACTGGTTCCAGAAATGTCCAGCCGGGTCTGGTTCGAGTCTGGTTCCCAAAATTTTCATCTTTTGCCACCTCTATTTCTGACCGACCTGGTGGTCAGATTATGGGCTGTCGTGGGTACGGAAATAGCCCAGGCGGTGCCGGGTTGACGAACATGTGAGGAACATGTTGAGTGCGACTCCCGACAACCCTCTCGGAGACCACTTTAGAGTGGCTCACGGTCAGCTGTCACTAGACAGAGGGGCGGATCTACCACTTACGGTGGAGATACTGTACCAGGCTCTGGACTACCCAGACGGAAAGATATCAGAGTCCATCACTATCAGAGATTTGGAGCCCTCCCTGAACGAACGTCTTGTGTCTTGGCCTATTATGTAAGTGTGTAAGTGTGAATTCGAGTCACCGATCGTATCGAATATTCAAAAAGTGTTATGATGTCCTGATTTTGTCTCGTTTTTTATCGCTCGTTTTATATATGTATGTACGGTACATCGGAAACATCTTAGCATAACCAAGGATAATTTTCCTTTAAAATCTTATATAAACAAATACCACGAGATGAATTTCGAAATATGAAAATAGGTGCCGTCTGTCTGCTGTAACCTTTTTTGTCTTCTACATTGTTCTTTCTTTCGTTTGATAATGGTCTGTTGGCCGAAATATCACGTAAATAAAAAGGTAACTTGGCATTAATTTTTCTATATATTCGAGGGACGAGGAATAAGGTCAATGTTTTTCTTTCCTATAATCGTGTCAGCCTATCCATGAAAAACACTTTGTGTTGTAAGTTTTCATGAAAATAAATGAGAATATGAAATAATGAGCATTATCAAACGTCAGTGACTTTGATGTTGGTGGTGAAAATGTTATTTAATAAAAAATTAACTCATTTGCACCTGTTGTCCACCAAAAGAGCAATGAAGTAGCCCCAGCCCAGCCTACCTGGCGGTACTTCAAGTAGTCGAACAGATCCGGCTCGTAGAACTGCAGTGTCTCGGTAAGGTGCTGAAACTTCGCCGTCATTGCCAAGCCGTCCAAGAAAAAGTTGGGCCTGCATAAACGATAAATAACGCCGGCGTCACACTAAGGAAACAGGCCAAATGAGGACAAAGGGGAGTAAACTGTCCGGCGACATGAAGTGGCAGGCCCCCACCTGTGCGCTAAATATTTTTCATTCACTTTTCCTTCCAGCAGATGTCATTGATTCAGTCATACTCCAACAGTCGCCCAATAACTAAGCAGGGCCTCCTCTAACATGTTAACTGGAGCCTAGGGGACCGCGGCTCCCCAGTGATGCCGCTGCCCCCCCCCCCAGTGGAGCTGAAATCGCGTCACGGGGGGGGGGGGCACGCAGTTAAGCAAATCACTTAGAAAAACGAGGAAATTACACTATAACCTTACTAAAGAAACAATCCAGACTACCTCCACGATCACCACGTTACTAATTATAGTTTCCTTATATCGTTGCTTTGTTATCTACAGGAGGGCTGTTCACGACGTCGGTTTATCCCGTTTAATAAACCGTAAACATGTTTGTTTTTTGAAGGACCAATCAGCGTCGACCTGATCCTGACGTCACATCTCGTCAATGACGTCAGACCTCCGCCGTAAACCGTCTATGCGGTTGATGCCTCAGAGCATCAACATGGCGCGTAAACGCGTTTATGTGACAATGATGGCGATGTGCGGCAAACTCGTGAGGCGAGTTATGAGTTAGGAAATTTGAATTCGGACAGTTCAGGGGCTGGTAGGTGAGTAAATGAGTTTCAAAATAACCCTGCACGGGTTGCAGAGGACTGGAATGGTAGGTTTTATTATTTCACTAGAGGGACAGCATTACGCGCAGCGTAATAAATCAATTTTCATTAAAATCGGCCCAGTAGCGGCCGAGTAATTGCAAGAATAAATTTGGCGTCTCCTACTGGCCGGCGGTGCTCTGTTCCGGTATTCATTGCCAAAGGTCAGTGACCTGCCGGCTCTGGTTTCGCTCAGTTACCGGGGTTACATGAGCAAGTAAATGCGTATCAGGAACGGATTTTCCTATTCGCTCACCATTGTAGTCCGTTTGTAATGCGTATTAACTCTGCTCATGTAACCCCGAGCAGTTTCGCAAGCGAAGAAACTGAGCCTAAGGCGCGTGCTCTCTGATCGGCGCCGGCCGCGGCCCAAAATCCCGCAAAGATGCGCCCGCCACGTGCAAACCACCGAGCGCACCCCCTCGAAAAGTTGATACGACAAACAGATGCACGCGTCCGACTTGCGCCCAAAATTTCACCCCCGTAGCCCGCACCGTTCCGGAGCAATAGCCCGCCAAGCGTGACTGACGCGTCACATACATACATACATACGGACATTTTGATTGTTATATATGTAAATTCATTGCCAAAGGTCAACGACCTTCCGGCTCTGATTTCCCTCAGTTTTGCAAGCGAAGAAACTGAGCCTACGGCGCGTGCTGTCTGCTCGAAGCCGGCCGCGGCCCAATATCCCGCAAAGATGCGCCCGCCACGTGCAAACCGGCGAGCGCACCTCTTCCAAAATTATACAACAAACAGATGCACGCGTCCGACTTACGTTCAAAATTCCACCCCTGCAGCTCACACCGTTCCGGAGTAATAGCCCGCCAAGCGTGACTGACGCGTTACATACATACATACATACGGACATTTTGATTTTTATATATGTAACTAGAGGGACAGCATTACGCGCAGCGTAATAAATCAATTTTCATTAAAATTGGCCCAGTAGCGGCCGAGTTATGGCCAGAATAAATTTGGCGTATCCTCCTGGCCGGCGGTGCTCTGTTCCGGTATTCATTGCCAAAGGTCAGTGACCTTCCGGCTCTGATTTCGCTCAGTTTTGCAAGCGAAGAAACTGAGCCTACGGCACGTGCTCACCGCTCGCCGTCGGCCGCGGCCCAACATGCGGCAAAGATGCGCCCGCCAGTCGCCACGTGCAAACCGACGAGCGCACCCCCTCGAAAAGTTGATACGACAAACAGATGCACGCGTCCGACTTACGTTCAAAATTTCACCCCCGTAGCTCGCACAGTTCCACAGCAATAGCCCGCCAAGCGTGACGGACGCGTTACAATTACGGACATTTTGATTTTTATATATGTAACTAGAGGGACAGCATTACGCGCAGCGTAATGAATCAATTTTCATTAAAATCGGCCCAGCAGCGGCCGAGTTATTGCCAGAATAAATTTGGCGACTCCTCTTGGCCGGCGGTGCCCTGTTCCGGTATTCATTGCCAAAGGTCAGTGACCTGCCGGCTCTGATTTGGCTCAGTTTTGAAAGCGAAGAAACTGAGCCTACGGCGCGTGCTCTCTGATCGGCGCCGGCCGCGGCCCAAAATGCTGCAAAGATGCGCCCGCCACGTGCACACCGCTGCACCCACCTCTTTCAAAACTTAATACAACAAACAGATGCACGCGTCCGACTTACGTTTAAAATTTCACACCCGTAGCCCGCACCGTTCCGGAGCAATAGCCCGCCAAACGTGACGGACGCGTCACATACATACATACATACATACGGACGTTTCGATTTTTATATACGTAACTAGAGGGACAGCATTACGCGCAGCGTAATAAAACAATTTTCATTAAAATCGGCCCAGTAGTGGCCGAGTAATGGCCAGAATAAATTTGGCGTCTCCTCCTGGCCGGCGGTGCTCTGTTCCGGTATTCATTGCCAAAGGTCAGTGACCTGCCGGCTCTGGTTTCGATCGGTTTTGCAAGCGAAGAAACTGAGCCCAAGGCGCGTGCCGTCTGCTCGAAGCCGGCCGCGGCCCAAAATGCCGCAAAGATGCGCCCGCCACGTGCAGACCGGCGAGCGCACCCCCACCAAAATTTAATACGACAAATGGTTGCACGCGTCCGACTCGGCGCGAAAATTTCACCCCCGTAGCCCGCGCCGTTCCGGAGCAATAGCCCGTCAAGCGTGACTGACGCGTTACATACATACGTACAGACATTTTGATTTTTATAAATGTCACTAGAGGGACAGCATAACGCGCAGCGTATTGAATCAAGTTTCAATAAAATCGGCCCAGTAGCGACCGAGCTATTGCCAGAATAAATGTTGCGTCTCCTCTTGGCCGGCGGTGCTCTGTTCCGGTATTCATTGCCAAAGGTCAGTGACCTTCCGGCTCTGATTTCACCCAGTTTTGCAAGCGAAGAAACTGAGTCTAAGGCGCGTGCTCTCTGCTCGAAGCCGGCCGCGGCCCAAAATGCGGCCAAGATGCGCCTGCCACGTGCAAACCATCGAACCCACCCTCACCAAAATTTAATACGACAAACAGATGCACGCGTCCGACTTACGTCGAAAATTTCACCCCGTATCCCGCACCGTTCCGGAGAAATAGCCCGCCAAGCGTGACTGACGCGTTACATACATACGTACAGACATTTTGATTTTTATATATGTAACTAGAGGGACAGCATTACGCGCAGCGTAAAGAGGGACAGCATTACGCGCAGCGTAATAAATCAAGTTTCAATAAAATCGGCCCAGTAGCGGCCGAGTTATTGCCAGAATAAATTTGGCCACTTCTCTTGGCCGGCGGTGCCCTGTTCCGGTATTCATTGCCAAAGGTCAGTGACCTGCCGGCTCTGATTTCGCTCAGTTTTGCAAGCGAAGAAACTGAGCCTAAGGCGAGTGTTCTCTGATCGGCGTCGGCCGCGGCCCAAAATGCGGCAAAGATGCACCCGCCACGTGCAAACCATCGAACCCACCACCACCAAAATTTAATACGACAAATGGTTGCACGCACCTGACTCGGCCCGAAAATTTCACCCCCGCAACACATACAGTCGCCTCGCAATAGCCCTCCAAAGGGAACTGACGCGTTACATACATACATACGGACGTTTTGATTTTCATATATGTAACTAGAGGGACAGCATTACGCGCAGCGTAAAAAGTCAATTTTCAATAAAATCGGCCCAGTAGCGGGCGAGTTATTGCCAGAATAAATTTGGCGTCTCCTCCTGGCCGGCGGTGCTCTGTTCCGGTATTCATTGTCAAAGGTCAATGACCCCCAGCTATGCTTCCGCTCATGGTTTTGCCAGCGAAGAAACTGAGCCTACGGCACGTGCTCACTGCTCGGCGCCGGCCGCGGCCCAAAATGCCGCAAAGATGCGCCCGCCACGTGCAAACCGCCGAGCCCACCCCCACCAAAATTTAATACGACAAATGGTTGCACGCGCCCGACTCGGCGCCAAAGTTTCAACCCCGCAGCCCGCACCGTCGCCGCGCAACAGCCCGTCAAAGGGAACTGACGCGTTACATACATACATACAGGCGTTTTGATTTTTATATAAGTAACTAGAGGGACAGCATTACGCGCAGCGTAATAAATCAAGTTTCATCAAAATCGGCCCAGTAGCGGCCGAGCTATTGCCAGAATAAATTTGGTGACTCCTCTTGGCCGACGGTGCTTTGTTCCGGTATTCATTGCCAAAGGTCAGTGACCTTCCGGCTCTGGTTTCGCTCAGTTTTGCAAGCGAAGAAACTGAGCCTACGGCGCGTGCTCTCTGATCGGCGCCGGCCGCGGCCAAAATTCCGCAAAGATGCGCCCGCCACGTGCAAACCGGCGAGCGCACCCCCACCAAAATTTAATACGACAAACAGATGCACGCGTTCGAAATACGTTCAAAATTTCACCCCCGTAGCCCGCACCGTTCCACAGCAATAGCCCGCCAAGCGTGACTGACGCGTTACATACGGACATTTTGATTTTTATATATGTAAACTAGGTGTCCAGCATTACGCGCAGCGTAATAAATCAATTTTCATTAAAATCGGCCCAGTAGCGGCCGAGTTATTACCAAAATAAATGTTGCGTCTCCTCTCGGCCGGCGGTGCTCAGTTCCGGTATTCATTGCCAAAGGTCAGTGACCTTCCGGCTCTGATTTTGCTCAGTTTTGCAAGCGAAGAAACTGAGCCTAAGGCGCGTGCTCTCTGCTCGAAGCCGGCCGCGGCCCGAAATGCTGCAAAGATGCGCCCGCCACGTGCACACCGCTGCACGCACCCCCTCGAAAAG